GGTAGTCGAAACGTCGCCGATATGAACTATACCAAAGAGGTGGTAAAAAAGAAGTGGCGATGAGCGGGAGCGTAGTACCGCAAATCCCGGATCCGATAAACCCTCTATGGCCTCTTATTGGGATCAACTCGCCACCCTTGCTACTCCAATGGGGTGCATGTTCTTTTAGCAGGAGGATTCAAGCGCTTTTCTTTTCTACCGACTTTCATTTTTTTCGCGTCATCTTCGTTTCTCTTCAAATATATTTTTCCTGTTCTATTTCTCCATATTTTTTTTTTTTCATTTAAATTTCGGACAGTTGTCGGAAATTACGACTATCGTAACGACCCACGAAACGCGACGGGATCTTTGTGGTACGACATAGGAAAGATGCTTCAGTCTCTATATTGCCAATAGACATTTACGATTACGAATCCTATTGTAATTAACTTTCATTTTTCCTCGTTGTTAAAGGTTTCTAATAATATAGCTTTTCTGTAACGGCGACAGGCGTAAATACGTAAAACATAAAATAAATCATAATGCGATGTACTTGTCGATACAAGACCAGAAAGTTGCAGGTGTCACTCAAAATATTGATGATATTAATATAGAATCGTATACAGGGCAGATTCACAACTATTCATTTATTCCATAAATCTGGCGATAAATAACGGGCATCCCCTTTATAATACTACCAAGCAACCCCTACTAGGAGGGCGCGTGCGTTTCCTCGTGCGTTGAAGTCCTATGTGGGCACGATCGGCCACCGCAAATATGCCGGAACGCATTTAAAATGTATTGAACTGTCAGAGAAAGGCGGCCTTTTTTCCCGGATTTTTACATTTTTCATCGCTAGCCCACGCTTAGACGCGCCATCCGTGGGGATGTCGGATTAGTCAGTTATTGTTGCTCTAAGTGTGCCGTCCTGGGCCGTGGGGTTCGGACCGGCACCCTTACCACCGCCAATAAAACACCACCGACTCAAACCCCCCTGTAATAGATCCTGGCCCTTCCTGGGACAACCCCCGACATCGTGTTCCCTGCCAAATTGACTGGCAGCTTCCAGCTTTCTGGCTTTTACTGCTACTGCATTCCCCTCATTTTTTCTCTATCTTTTTTCTTCTCCCTTTCTTTTCCTCTGTTCTCCACTATGTTTCCCGGCTACTCTGGCGATTCTATTTAAAAGTGCATAAGCGTGCATGAATACTGCAGGATGCAGCGAAGCGTATAAAAAAATTATTCGATTAATTTTTTGTACCAAATCTGATAAACTTTTGGTTAGTTTTATTGAATTATTATGTTTTTCGATAGTTTGTTATAAATGGGACATGACTTATTTCAGTTCATTTTTTTCTTATAGAATACATTCAATAGTATGTAATAGTTAAGAAAATAGCCAGGACGGGATAAGCTATACGAAAGAATTTACTTTGCGTGGCAGAAAAAATCTTTTTTCTTTTTCATGTAAATTCCGGATTTTTACGTGGGAAGTAGAAATGGCCTGGAAATAAATCGTACGAGTGGCTCTTATACGCTAGAGAAACTCTGAGAGGTTTTACCTTTGTAAATTTACCGGCATCAATTCTGGACTAGTTTAAGAAAAGCTCAATCTATCTGGATATACCTATATTCATATAGTACATACAGTCTCTTTCATATTTCTCTTTTTTCTCTATTATTTATAAAATCACTTTGCAGAAACTTTTGAACAAAAATTTACAAAATATCAGAATCGTTGTATACCTATGTAAAAAGAAGGGGTGTTTTGTAGAGGGAGATGAGACGATTTAATAGAACGCCTCCGTTCTATATCGACCCTTCAACTCTTACACCCTACAACCACCTTTGACTCTCTTTGACCTCACTCTTTCCGTCCCAGATAAGAAGGGCTTTCTAACGACTATCGAATAAAAGCGATCCGTAGTCAGGAAACTCAATGCAATCACTATTACGAGAGGCCCCTACTGTCAGGAACACCCTGGAACGGATCGGTTCCTTAAGGGCGGCCCCAATGATCGCGATCGTAGGTTCCAGTGAGGCCGACAGATATTGACCTTTGACCCCTTTGGCTCATTTTCATACATACATATTTGCCTGTCGTTTATGGCGATGCTTACATACATTTTGGCACTTTCTTATCGTTTCATTTCTCTTCAAAAGCGCCGTACCCTGATTACAAGTCATTTTTTTTATTATTCTTCGCAAAAATGAATCGAAAAACGTATC